TTCCATGGGAATCATCCATGCATGCAGCGCGCGAGGATTGTGTGCAGAATGGGAGATTCAGCCAACGACGCAACACGGTGCCAATACTGAACAAATTTTCAGCATCCCCTATACGGTGTCGGCAGGTGCTGCAACTCTCGTAATGTTAAGCTCCCTAGTGTGACGACTATGAACCAAATATTTGCCGTGAGCCTCTGTTGCACAGATGCCCTCACCTACCGTACGCACATCGTATGCTCTATTAACAGGAGAATGAAATCGTACGAGGGGCACGAATCGTCTCGCCACTTTCATGTATTAGAAATAGAAAAAACCCATGTGATCATCAAGTAACGATGTCAGAGGAGAAATAATCAAATTAAAAATTTTAAAAGGCCCAGTCTCGCGGATACCAATTATCATAAAATGTTGATGAAATTCAGGGGCAGTAAGTGGTAAATGGTCACGTGATTCATCTGTAGAAAATTTACTAATAATTAGCCAATTTATATTTTTTCAACTCTTTGAAAGTGAAGTTTATGATTGACCCAAAGAATGCTTGCTTAGATTAAGAATTACGTCAACATTCGCCAAATTGTCAGATATGAATGTCGGCAAACTGGCCACCAAGATGTTTAAGAAGAGTAAAATCATTCAAAGAAAAGCCGATTTTTATTATAGAAAGCATAGAGTCATGTTTATGTAATGCATGTAAGCAAATATCCAACAATTTAAAAGTGGCATTCAAACAAGATTGTTATCAGCAGACTGTTGCGATTCTGCACAAACGAGAAACACTCGCACAGAGTATTAAAAAGCGGCCCAAAGTTTCCTCGCTAGAAGGCACCCGCAGCACCCGCTATAATAACGTGAGTCTCGCTCGCATTGTACGAGCGCTAGCTTCAACTGGACCTTCAAACGGAGACTGATGGGCTCCATATGATTCATGACTTAATGTTCTCTGTGACCGACGCACTTTTGCATGCTATATGGTCACCTGAAAGGTCATACGCGGGAGAGCAACAAGGATAGCAAATGATTCCGCAAAAGGAATAAAAAATTAAATAATTTTTGTGTGTAATCTACTGCAGGCTGCTTAACGAAAGAAAGCTATCTTGACACAAAATACGTGAGCTTTAATGCTTAAAAAGGCGTTCAAGGAGAACTTACTTACCGTCGGTGAAATTTCATAAAAACTTAATTCCGTCGGGCCAATATTAGATTGAACAACGAGCTGCTACATGTTCGGAGTATACGAGTCACTCAAAAATGGTTTAACTGCTCTTGCCATAACCCAAAAATGAAGCTTTTTAACTTCCAATTCGAAAATTTCAGTTTAAATCGGATTCATCATAATTACAAAATTTACTAGTGACATTCAGGTGTTCCTCTCATATAAATGATGTCAACACGCAAAACGTTTTTTCATGTGACAAATCGATGAACAGGAAAGTCGCATGCAAACGCATTATCCCGAAAATCGATAATGGATATGTAACAAAGGCATGACTTATCACGTCAGTAACATGACGAAAGCAAGCTATCTTGATCGGTCCAAGCAATGGACACCGAGTAATCAAAATCCTAGAAGCGCAAAACGCTTGCATTTGATAAGGTAAGAAAAAATTCTTCAAATTGAGACTGACCACTTACAGGTAACCGCCAAAACTTGCCAGCTACATATCAGGTCGATACCTTTCAAAGCTTTAACATCAAAAACAAAGAAGGATTACAATCTATTATCATGTTATATATTATCAATCTATACTGTAAAAATGCTACGAATGTTATTGGAATAGAATAGAAAGAATGTACAAAAAATAGTATAAAAAGACCGACAAATAGCGACAGTTAGGTGCAGAATAGTTACTCTTTCAACACATACGGAAAAGAATATATGAAGAGCACCACGAGTTGCATCATTGGCGCGGCAACGAAAATGCTATTGCGCGACCAGCTCAGCGCAGTGATATCGCTGTCGCACTAATTAAATACAAAGATAGGCCACACGGCCTGGAATATCATTAGCGACAAGCTGTGTGGTCTGGTCGAGCTACCTACTGAAGTGTGTCAAAAAGTCGGCGCGAGCAAGAAACATGCATAAGATGTCGACCATCAAGACTATCGAATTAACAAAAAAGTCGAGCCACGAAGTGACAGAATCGTCGTATACATACATACAGATAGTGGAGAATTTAGCACCATAGTTTGATTGTTTTACTCTCAGACAAATAAAATCCAATTTAGAAACTAGAAAATTTGTCAAGAAAGATTGAAGACGCCATTTATAAAATTCACAATAGTGTTAATGTGACGAATTCTTTTGGTATGATTAATCTATGATGAAAATTTGAGCAGTAAAACCAATTAAGCTAATCTGCACGAGGAACCGCGGTATATTCACCGTTTACAACGTCGAATAAATTTTTGTTGACATGATTAATTTTGCGCAAGTTTAACAATATCTAGGCATAGCAATTTTACTTGAAATCACACGAATTAATTGTCTTGAGAAGAGACGTTCATATTACGTACGAAGAACTCGAGGCATCTAGACGGTATCCTCGGCCATAATTCCAGATGTTCCAGTGCTTTGCTTCTTCTAAACTGACAAATGAAGCTCGTTAAAAAAAACATTGAACGAGCAAGCCTGAAATGATAAGAATGAGAGATCTCTGTTCAGCAGCGCAGCCTCCTCGTCTCCAGTGAAACGTTCTATTCACAACACGGCCACTAACACTGCTTAAGGATTCCATTCTTTACTACTGGTTGATTATCGGGCCAGCAGTGGCATCGTGAATGCCTAGTTGTGCTCCAAGCCTCTTACATTGCATCTTAAATTGGGACTTAATTAAAGAATGACAGCCTTTCGCATTCAGATACCCTTGTTGGCCTACGCAAGTGGGCATTACCTCCAGGTGGCAGTGAGAGAACGCACGGAACTTGGAACACATCAGGAGATTGTCATGTGCTCTAGCGACTAAGAAACGTTAATAGAGGCAAGTTTTCGTTGCTTCAAGATGGATTTGCTTGGAAGCTTTCTATAGTCCTCGTAACTTTCACGTGCTTCGGAAAGTTTCAATAAATTAACCATCGACATTTGCAAATTGCAATAAAGTATCAAAGCTGTAATCCCTCTAACTTGGCAAAAATCGCACATAGAACTGAACATACAATTGGGAATAATTGGTAACGTAAAACGGGTATTGAACCGTTTTGACTTTAAGAAAAGAAAACTATAAAACTCGAAAATTCTTACCTTAGAAAAATTGCGTTGAATGCTTTTGAAGTACAAATGTAATATTAAGATATATTTTATTAATTATGTCACTATAACAAAAATAGCAGCGCTAAAAATGGTCCAAGTATTACTGTATTCAAAAGATGGATATCATCCTCAGCTGACTTAACGACAATTTTAAACGAACTATTATGCATTAACTAAGCGTTCATTCCTCGGAGGCTGACAGAAGAGTAGATGTGCGAAGCAAGTGGGCAGCCATAATATCGGTGGCATCCTAAAGCTACACGAGGCTATTAGCATGTTAATATGCAGATGGAAAGTAAACGTTGAGCATTGCGACCCGGACACCTGTTACACAGAACAACGCATGAATGCTTTGGATGAGCCGCTCGCTGCTCTTTACACCAGAACCATATGGCCGAGTGCACATGTGCTGCGACAGTCTTCGTCTGCAGCTTTTGCAAGTTTGATGAAACATAAAAAATCGAGAAAATACAATTTTGCATCATTAAATGTATACTTTCAAGCTCGATTTGGGCAAAAACCAAAGAATTCGTTGCGAAGGAAAACTCCGAGTTCAGCTGCATCGAACTAACATTCGGACATTGAACAATTTTAAGGGTAATAGGTATACTTAATAACTTCAACAACGGAGACTTCATATGTAAATTTCATACGTCAGATAATCATATATATTTTGAAGCCGAAATATCGAATAACATCAGCATCAAATCAATAAATTGCTTGTTTGCACAACTACTGCGAGACCCGAGATGTATTCATAGTCTTTTACCAAATAATGAAGTTAAGTCCATGACACAAGGCTATAATTTGATCATTGAGTGACACACACGAGCTCACGTGGTTGACTTGAAGGCAGTTAAGTGGCTGAGCATATTTTGATAATTTTGTATAACTAATTAAATCAAGGTTTCTTTCTGATTAAGCGCGAGTCAGAAATTGAGTACGTGATTAATCACGAGTCAGAAATCGTGTGTGTAACCAAGTATTAGTGAGGAAGTAAGCATGAGTCGGAAAACCAGCATGTGATCAAGCATGAGTAAGAAAGTGAGTGTGAGATGAAGCAAAGTCAAAAGTGCCAGAAGATATCGTACGAGATGGGAGGAGGAGCGAGATGGCATACATCAAGGCTGATGGTACTTTGAACAGCTGTGTCCTCCTTCTTTTGACCGCTTGTCTTCACAATCACTATAGCTCAACTTCAATAAAAACAAAGCTCGTAAAATCAGAAACCTTCAAATTAGTCATAAAGCGCCATGCCGCGGTCACACACATCCAGCACTTGCCTCCATGATCAAGACTTGGCGATAACGCCGACGACCAAGCATCATTATTTATTATTGGCAAACGCAGCAATGATTTCTTTTCCCATTGTTGTGTGTGGAACGTCGAAATAAAGTTTATGGTTACTTTCCGATCAACTAAGAATTTGGTCATCTTTCAGAGAGAGAAGCTAAGCAATGGATAATTTGGTTGGGGCACTGAAAGTTCACAAAGCATAATCAAGATGCAAGATTTGTCTCCGAGAAAATACCAGACAACAAAACCGAAATAATCAAGAATTCAAGTCTAAAAAAAAATAGCGAAAATCCGAAAGAATGCCATGTATCGCAACCCTTAATTTTCAACTCCTCAAAAAAAAAAATAATAAAAAATAACAGGGGGGGGAAAGAGAAGTCAACCTTCTACCTCGCTAATGCATTTTTCAATGCATGAACCGTCCTAAAACGCTTTAAATTTCTTAAATTATAATTACCTTGTAGCATAGAGCGGTAAGCGGTGTCGGTGATGGCGTAGACATGAGGGGGCATTTCGTGGCGCTTCTTCCCCTTGTACATGTCGATGACTTTCTCAGTGTAGATCGGCAGTTTGCGGTACGGGTTCACCACCACGCAGAAAAGGCCGGAATATGTCTGCGAATAAAGATGAGAAATATGTATCAGTATTTATTATTGTAGTTTTCTGTAAAGTATTCATCCCATTCAAGTCCACCTATTAAGAGGTGTGAAGGAAATACAAATGATCACTACGTTGACTGATGCGAACAGTCAAGCTAAGGAAGGCATTGGCATAAGGTGATACAGTTATGCGATTTATGCTACCTACTATTAAGTTTAGTAATCATGCTTGGGCAGAAGCTAATATTTTGATAATATCACTCAACAATTACCTCAAGTTCAACAGGATCACAATGTAACTGTAATATTAATTATTTATAACAGTGAACAGCATGAAATGTCTCACCTTTTCTAATAAAAGGATAAACACAATAATGATAGCGCTCCAACGTTCTCAATCGGCTCATTAGTGGTGAAGTCATTTTCGTGAAAATATTTAGAAAGACAATATGACTCTGCAAGACTGCAACACCCAAAATTAATAGCACAATTTGACAAGAGAAGGGATGACCTCTGGCTAAGCTAGTTTTCACGTAAGTTTATTGGATACGGTACTCGTTTTTACTATCGTGGCTAAAGGGTTGTAAAATCGATCGTTTTAATGCTATTTGTATATACATACGATCACATGAGCTACTGAGCTTTGCGATGCTAGGAATAGAGCGCGACAAAATATGCCATTAAATGATGTATTTACAACTAAGAATCTACTTAGCTGATAAGTAATTATTTCCTGATATTCTGGATGTTTTGTTATAAAACGACGTTGTAGGCAACCAGCGGGACAGATCCGAATGCTACTACGGACGGTTTCTTTAAATGCAGTAGCAACTAGCACAATTGCACCATAGAAATAAGATTATAAATAACATAACAGCGTACGGTAAAGGACATGATAAGCGAGAAGACTAACTTATCACCAACTCTACGAGAACTTTGGAAAGTAAATACAGTCGACCAAGATTTTTGCTTTAGAAGTTGGAATATGTTGACTGGTATGAGTGGCTATTTCCTCACGACAGAAGCCACTATCATGCGACTAAGGCTTCAATAAAACCATAAAGAAGTTATAGAACTCGCAAAAATCATCACGCACCGAGATGGCTCCCCGGGAAAAAATAATAATAATAAACAAATAATAATCTGCACTCTGCGAGGCATTGTCAATGGGACTGGCATGATATGAACTGTGAGAGGATCCTCGATCAGAACGCTTCAAATAAACAAATATCGGACAATAAACTGTCTGGTCCTATTTATTAGCGCTCCTAATGAATATTAGAGTGAAGTATGAGACTACGCTAATACTTTCATCTCTTATAAGGAACTGTGGCAGTTAATTCGATTAAATGGCAGCTACCAGATATATGCTGCGCCCAGTTCGAAGAGATATAATAATGTACGACCGTCTTGCGAAGTCCATCATAAAACGTATAAGATTTTAAATCCAAGATTTGAAGGAAGATGTTGAATTAACAATTTTCATCAACTATTGCTGTGTGAGATTTTGTGTGCACGAAATTAGGTAACAAGGTAAAATATCAGCCAGCATATGATTAAAGTTAATTTTATAATTGATTGGCATTTATTCAATCAATCATATTAACTTAATTGATGCATACTCAAAAATCGAGTAGAATGACAATGAGAAACTGTGGTGCGTTGATAATTTCCACGCTTCGGGCAAGTTTAAGAAATCACCCACTAATTTCAATGCTATTACTGCCGGAACAACAAGAACAATGAACGAATGAGCAGGTATGACATTGTTGGTGCGCAAAAGCAAGCTGCCTATATGCCGGAAAGCTAGCAAGTGTTTACTCAACTACAGCGGTTGACCCAGCAAACAACGCGTCCGGTACTTACTAAACTAACACAAACAATATATTCCTGCCTCATATCATGACGACCGACTTGTAGTGCGGGTAAAATTTGGCGACATTTAAAAGCACAACTTGATTATGGAGCAACGATGTAACTTTCATACAGGGTAACTTGATGTAGATCCATATACGAGTCATTAACAAAGTGGGTGAGGACGAAAGTACTGGAAAATTTCTCCAGTGAAATGCCTGCCATAGATTTAATTTTTTTTGAAATTCGTCACTGCTCTCAATAATGCGGAACAATAAGAGGTGTGAATTTCAGGTATTCATTCCTGTCATAAACAACTCTCGAGGATAGCGAGAGAAATCCTGAGATTTGACACACGATTCGAACAACGTCAAGGAGGGTAAAAAACTGAAATGCCACCAATAAAATTTTCAAGGAGATATAGCAGAAAAAGTAGTCAATGTTAGCTGAAACTTCGTCATGCCTGAAATACTGCCGAGAATCTAATGCAGTAGAATTTCAACATGGAAGTCGTAGCGAAAGAACATTCAACCTTGAGACGTCATATAACAGATACTTGGCTAACATTTATAGCAGGTAGCAGCAGATGGCGGCAGACTTGTCATAATTTGTCAACAAGTTAGGAGAAATGCAGCAAGGTTACACCTAAGTTCATCAGATGCTTGAGCTCAATGCGTCCTCTATAGCAGAAAGTTGTTCAGCGATCACTGTTTTGCAGCAATTTTACGTGGCATAGGAATATTTGTGGATTGCTTAGAACTACGATCAACTCTTCGTAACATTGCATACGTGCTCCTACAATTTTCGACTCAAACTTGTCAAGTAACCAGTGTAAAAGAAACAGTTCCGATATTCTTGCAGAGAGGCCGCAATTTTCAACTTTTCCTCGTTTTCACACCAATTATGGTATTAGTGAACAAACAATTTCTCAAAAATAAAAGAAACAAAATAATTACAATATTGGTAACTTTTCCTAACATTTTGAAGGAACGTTTTGTGGCTTTCATAAAAATAGCGATAACGGACCAACAAAAAATACCTGATCTCAGCGGAAATAAGAAAGATAAAATTAAATCTAGAAAGTTACACCGAACTCACAAGCGTGATATTTCAATCAAATGGACTTAACGAACAAGATCCACATAACAAAAGACAAACATGTAGATTGCAGAAGTTGAAAAAGTTCACAATTAACTCAGAATTCACTCATGGAATACTGCAGCATAAATTAATATCCATCCCAGATGTTGAGAAATATACCTACATAGGCTTTTAGAGGAGAAGAGTTAGTGCATAAAGTGAAGCCCCGTGGTATCAGTGATAAGACAAGTGCCCTTATCACCAGCATAAATGACACATTCGTTTATTTGCTCGTCTGAACATACAGAGAAGAGGCGGCGGAAAAGTCTGCATGCCGATGAAAAATGAGTGTTTTTTTTTTGCATGGATTGAAAGAACTGAAACTTAGGTAGGTTAGATAGAAAAACAAAGTAATATGTTATGCACTATTTATTATGACTCAAGAGCGAGTGTTTTTAGAGCCAATAAAAGGTAGTATAACAAATGGTATCTCACGGACAAACAAGTCACATCATTTATGATGCAATTCTTCTTAAAAGTGTAATGTGCGAGATTCGTAGGATTGTATACAAATTAAATTCATTTAAGCAAGCAATATTTTGAAGCCTTTTGCGATGTTGAAATTAAATAATCAGTTTTATTAGTAGACACTTTGCAATTATTTTTTAATGCTTTTGTATATTTGATTGTGAAATGTACCCCAAATTATCCATATGGACTAGTTTGCTAACATATCAGAAGCGTTATTACAATGGCTTTAATAATTATTTTTTTTCGTGAATTGCCGATGTCTATCAGGACATTTCAGGAGCTGATGTAGCGCAGCGAATAGCTCTGAAATTCTATAAAGCTAAAAATAAGTTATGAAACATAAGCGCGAAATGCATGCGAGAGGTTTTTGCGCCCAGCACGCGCGTGTTAGGCGCATTGAACGAACATGTGTTTCGGCCCGAGCGAAGGCCGCCGCGGCAGACGGAGCAGTCGGGCATATAACTACGTATGTGTGGGGACCAGCTGTGTAGAGTACGGCGGCCTCGACCCCCATCTCTTGCAACACTATGCACTCATGCAAGAAATTATGCTCGCTAACCACCACCACCCCTTCTCCTGGCCATGCCACACGTTCATCAATTAGATGCGCCATCACCACGCACACACACATACCTCATCTCGACACAGGTCTCGTATCACCCGCTTGCATACTCATTCCCACGATCTATGGACAACTTTCTCCATTTTGCCAAAAATTAATGCTAATTCTGAGTGTCTAATGGTTGTCATCCAACTGTTCTCAAAATGTATACGGTGATAAGCTCGCAAAATCGCAAAGATTAATTTTATTCAAGACTGATTAGCTTTATGGTATTGTAGTAAGTGAAATTTTAGGATCCATCTACAAAACGTTTCACAAAATAGCGAGTATATACGGTAAGAGAGAATATTGCCACTGCAACTTTTGAACTTTCTCATACGTAAATATCACAAAATAAAGATGAAATTAAAATTTCAGCAAAGCTCATTACCGAAGCCGGTGTGTGAAATAGGAAAGCAAAGCAAGACAATTATACTGTTTATAATTGGTCGCGAGGTGCTAACACAAATAACCCATTTGTTAAGTACACCCGCGATGCCTGATTGCAAGCTAGGCACAGCACTGCGGAACTTCGTTTCAGTGAACAACTCGAATAAAGAGGCTCGTCGAAGCGCAACTTGGTGCCCAGGAACTGAGTCGTGGAACAAAAAGCTTGAGCTGAAAAGCATCTCAGGCATGACATGTTCGGGTCACAGAGTCGGAGGACGCGTTTCATTTCTTCCCAGAAAATGGAGCCAAATTCAGGCTCGCTGCAAACGAAGGACTGCTGATTGTATGGCAGCGTGCGCACCAATTCAGGGAAATTCGCAGCGTTGAAATGAAAAGCCATTTAAAAGAGTCACGAACTTCGCTGAGCAAAATGAAAGTCAAGCAATGAAATTTCATCGATAGAACGAATAAGTGGGTGGTATATTACAGGAAAAAATACTGTCTAAAAATAATATTGATTTTAAAAATTCACCACATACGTTAAACCTAAACAAAAATC